CACTGCAAAATATTTTTTCAGTAACCTAATAAAATTAATGCTAGTCATCAGAAACTTTCCAATTTACAAAGAATTTTTCACATTCTTTAGTGGCATTAGATTCTCAGAACAGCCCAGTATTGTTAGTATAATGTTGATTGGCCCCCCAACATCAATTTCCCCTGCCTCTGGCCAAAAAATAACCACACCATTCTTTGGAGGAATCACATCTCCCCAGTTATAGTCATATGGTTTGGATGGAGTTAACCCCATCCCTAGTACACAGAACAGCTTAAGCCAAATAACATATTTTTTAGCCCTCATTAATTGGTTCTGGAATGGTCACTTAACCAGTGAAATATATGGTCTTGTTTTCTGGGCCTTCTACAAAAAAGGTCTTCCTTTTTCTTCCAGGGAAACTGCTAAAAGATTCTGTAAGTCTCCTTCATGGTATAGTATAAAGATGTAAGATCTGGTACCAGAACTGCTTCAACAACAGCTCCACATAATAAAAGACGGAGGAAAAGGGACTTGGAAAAGGCAGACAGTGCAGGATAGGAGTGAAAAGTAAAGAAAGACAAGTGGGAAAAAGACAAAGAGAGAAAAGAGATGCCCAAGGCTCAAAAAGCACATATGAGATGAGAAGAAAAGAAGTAACACAGAGTCAAGAAATAGGGTAGAGGCAAAAAGAGATGAACAGAGCTTGGGCGGCAGTGGGTGAAGAGAATGAAAATGGTCTTATTAAGTTCCTGGGTGGCTCTGTCGGTGAAGTGTCTGCCATCAGTTCAGGTCATGATCCCAGGGTCCTGGGATGGAGCCCCGCAGAGGGCTCCCTGCTCCGTGGAAAGCCTGCTTCTCCCTCTACCCTTCCCCCCTGCTCGTGATCTCTCTTTCTCACTCAAATAAATAAAATCCTTAAAAAAAAGAAAATCTTATCACCCACTGCCTTGCACTTCAGACTGGCTTCAACATAAACTATTGTCTGTACCACTGCCCTTTGAAGCTCTAGCACTATTCATAGCTCAGAGGCTATTCTAGCTTGTGGGAACAATAGCATGTATCCAAGGAGACAGTGTCTTTGGTTGAAAAGACCATCACCAACAGAATTGCTAGAAAAAGAAACAGAGGACTTAAGCGGTTAAAATCCAGATTCCTAAGCATGACATAGGAGGCCCTTAATACTCTTGGCCCAACTGCGTTCTAAGACCCTATGCTACAGAGAACGACATGCGTCACCTCCAGCTCTCCTACATGACACCACCACCTCTGGTATGAAGCCTCGAACAGATGTGTCACCTCTCACTCCAACTGAGCTACCACAGCGCCTGGGACACAGTGAGTCCTCGGCTGACCAGAGCTCATAAAAAACCCACTCCAAATGTTCTCTTTCTCAAAATTCTCATATTTCAACAGAAACACTTGTCCATCAGGTTAAATTCCATGACAGTTTTCACTCACTGGATCTGAACATGATTAGATAATGCTTCAGAGGGGCCCACTGTGTCACACTGTCTTATTCTGACTCTTGGCATGCAACGTGGGGGCACAAGGGGCCAGTCCTGCTCTGTGTTCCCTTGTTACTGGGGGGTCTTTTGCTTCCTCTGCCTCTTACTAAATTTGCCTTCTCCCCTGGAGCTTCACCACAGGAAAGCTGGATCTTGCCTGTCCCTCAGTGCCAAAGCTTTTGTCTTTATCACATAGGTAAAAGAGAACCAGTCAGGATATCAGAAACCAGAATTCTCGCTGTGACTCTGTTGGTCAAGCAGATCAACATTTCCTAGCTTCAGTTTCTTTGTAAGTAAAATAGGAATAAAAATTCCTGCCCCATCTGCCTGGGTGCCAGTTGAGCATTTAACTCTTGGTTTCAGCTCAGGTCATGATCTTCGGGTTGTGAGACAGAGCCCAGACCTGCACTCAGCGTGGAGTCTGCTTGGGATTCTTTCCCGCTCCCTCCCCCTCTGCCCTTCACCCCAATCCAGCTCTTGTGCTCGCTCTCAAATAAATAAATAAATAAAATCTTTAAAAAAACTCCTGCCCTACCTACCTCAAGTGATTATTATGGAGATCATATAAAATAGTAGATCTGAAAATGCATAGCTCTAAAATAAGACTTAATTGATTTTTATTGTTAAAAGGTAATGACAATAGCCAAGATATGGAAACAATCTAAGTGTTCATCAATGGATGAATGGATAAAAAAATGTTGTACATATATACACACAATGGAATGTTATTCAGCCATCAAAAAAAGGAGGAAATCCCACCATCTGTAACAACATGGATGGACCCTGAGGGCATTATGCTAAGTAAAATAAGCCAGTCAGAGAAAGACAGATACAATACAGTCTTGCTTATATGTGGAATCTAGAAGAAATTTTTTTTTACTTAAAAAAAACAAAAAACTGAGCTCATAGATACAGAGAACAGATTGGTGGTTGCAAGAGGCAAAGGGTTGGTAAAATAGGTGAAGGGCGTCAAATGGTACAAATTTCCAGTTATAAAATAAATAAGTCACAGGGATGTAATGTACAGCATGGTGACTATAGCTAATAATACTGTACTGCATATTTGAAAGCTGCTAAGAGAGTAGATTGCAAAAGTTCTCATGGGAAAAGAAGATCACAACTATGTATCATGATGGATGTTAACCAAACTTATTGTGGTGATCATTTTGCAATATATACAAATATCAAATCATTATGTTATCCATCTGAAACTAATATAATGTTTTATGTCAGTTTTACCTCAATTAAAAAAAAAGTAGCTAATGAGTCTTAATCACACTAATAACTTTAGCAACCTTTAACTAGATTAGCTACAGCAAATAGACTAAAACACTGCTACCAGGTTTGCTAAAAGCAAATCATCTCATCATTAGTTGTTTATCAAGTGCTTATCCTAACTCCATGGTTTTCTACCTTTTTCTAACCTTTCCTAGCAAACCTAAGGGCCATGAGACATACACATTGCTAACAGTGGGCATCCTATTGATCTCAAAAGATTGGGAGAGCCCACTATTTGACAAATACTAGGCTGCATTTTGAGGATACCACTGTAAGCAGGAACAAACATTCCTGCATTCATGGGACTTACAGGCTCAGGGGACAACATGAACAACAAACACAGACACATACCCAAAATGACTAGAAAGCATGTATGTGAGCATACATGCATGCATTTGTATTTCCTGTACCCTCACTTTGAAACAGCCCCACCAGTGATACCATCCCCTTCCACTCTCATCCCCAGGGAACCACACACCTCCACATCATGAATCATTGTGTTAGGAGCCGGAAGAGAATTAAACTCTACCAAACGCTACAAGAGAATTTCTTCCAAAGGTAATTAATCATTGACATATAAGTAAAGCAGACTAGGTAAAGATCAGGAGACTTAAATAGAGTCCCAAATCCAGGACTGGTCACATAATTTGCAAGGACTGGTGCAAAGTGAAAAAAATGTAGGGCCTCTAATTCAAAAATAATTAAGAATCTCAAGGCAGTGATAACAGAGCATTTAAACTAAGCTTAGAACTCTCTGTGATTGCACAGGTCAAACCCCCTGAAATCTTCCTGGCTTCCATCCTTAAGGAATGTGTAACTTGTAGTCAGTCACTTACCCTACCTCAGGTTCCTTACAGCTATAAAATTAGAGGAGGGAAGAAAAGGCTTTCAGCTTCTTCCCATAACTAACATCTGTGTTTCTCTATTTAGAAGACAGTTCATTCATTTGGAGAGAATTATTTTACCCTTTTATATAACCACTAAAATGCTCACTGTGACTCAAAGCTAATGTTGAAACCCCATATGTAGTATTTTACCTTTAACCATTTTGATGGTTTTTTTTTTTTACCCTAGACAACTCCTTAATTTTGTCTACAAGAACAAATCTCCAAAGCAGTTTTCCAAGTTTACCAGTCTCCCATGTATGCCACTTAAATCTGAAATTCCTAACTGAGGTCTCCATCTATAAAGTAATTTTTCCCATAGTAAAGTATCTCCTTGCACAAATTTGGTATTTTCTTTTTTTCTATTCCTGAAGAATTATCTATTCTGAATAGGCATCTGGGTCTGCTCCAATAAAAAGGAGGCAAAATGTCAATTTCAGAGTTAGTTAACCTTTTAATTCCAGCAGTTTAGTATTTAGCATGACATAACTAATAACTATCCAAACCAGGGGTTCTTAACCTAGAGTCCGTGGAAAGAATTCTGGGAACTAATTAACTTGAATGGAAAAAAAATATATCTTTATGTCCATCCAACTTCTAACTAAAATTTAGCATTTTCTTCAATTATGAATGTAGGCAACAAACCATAGGAATATTAGTAGTACCTATGGCTTGATCACCAATAAATATTATCCATATTTTCATATCATATTCTAGCTATTGCAGATATCTTAAAACATCATTTATGTTCAACATTACCTCAAAATTGCAATAGTTACTAAGCCCAAAAATAGATCTTATGGTTTAATGTGTTAGTAAAAAATCATATATGTTATTACAACACAAAATTGGTTTTTACATTGAAATAACTGTATTTTAATATAACTTGCTTCCCTTGCAATCCTAAATATATCAATTTATGCATCTAAAAACATAATTCTGAAAAAAGGTCCATAGCCTTCACCAGACTATTCAAAGGATCCACAGTACAAAACAGGTGAAGAAACCCTGGTCAAAAGAAGTTACAGAGCTCATGTGACAATAAAATAGAACCAAATGTACTCCTGTCTCACAAGTAGTAATAGACCCATTTTAATATAAATAGTCTTTAAACTTCTAATTCAACAGCAATGTCTACATACAACAAAATCTTCATGGTCTGTTTATTTTAACTTAATAATAATTAAGTATACCAAAATAGAACAGCTTTTGCTGTTGTTGTTTGTGGGTTTTTTCTGTTTTTGGTTTTTTGTTTTTTTTTTTTTGCACATGTGACCATAGGATTTGATATGAAAGAGTATAACCCAGATACATGTCTTTACACCACAATCTCAAAAGTTCTTTGGATCGGTACCTGAGATGACAGTAGGTTACAATCAATGAACAGTCCTTTCCCCGTTTTATATCTTTGTATCAGTCCAGCCATAATGGCTCCATATGCATACAGGCCAGTAGCAAGATCAGTCATGGCCACTCCTGGACGAACTGGATCTCCATCCTGGGTTGGAGAGAATAACAGAGAAAATTGAAAGTTGAAACCACCATATTTTTTCTCAAATATTCTTTTTTTTGTTTTGTTTTAAAGATTTTATTTATTTATTTGTGAGAGAGAGAATGAGAGAGAGCACATGAGAGGGGGGAGGGTCAGAGGGAGAAGCAGACTCCCTGCCGAGCAGGGAGCCCGATGCGGGACTCGATCCA